TAGTGTAATGGCAGTACGTCCGACCGGTAATCGGAAGGTCTGGGGTTCAATTCCTCAGTCGGGCAGTGGTCTTTTTCCGTTCTGTCGTGATATAACATCTCGCTGGGTGATTACGGGGCGTAACAGTAAGATTCAAGAAATATTGAACTTTTTTCATCTCTCATGACCACCGTACAAAACTGTTACGTCAGAAAAAACGGATAATAGGCAGTTAGCTACTAATGATGGTGGTACCATACTAACGGTGGCCTCAGTTACCATGTAAAAGTTTGGAAAAGCAGCTGTTTTTGGTCATAATCAAACTGAGAATGCAAGAAAATCTATAGTAAGTTGTTTCTATCAAAATCCAACTTTAAAATACTGAGATAAACCTCAAACATAGTTCGTTATTAAAAGTTCAATATCTCATGAACCTTACATGGAACATACTTCAAAGTTTTAGAGAATATAGTTCATATTTCATTCTTTAATAAAAGTCCTAAGGACTTTGCTGAAAAAAGGGAGAACATGTTGTAAAACTTATAGCAGTACTCATGAACTTACACTGGAAGTGGCGCCGAATCCGATTATTTTGCTGGGGAGTAAAAGTCATTTTTCTCGGTTTGTGTATTAGCTATGAAGTCAGAAAAGATAGTCTTGCGTAACTTGATGAGCTCTATAAAACTAGATTGGTTTTAAATGAAGTGGAGCAAGTTGTTGTAATGATGGACGTTTCAGATGGAGTTGCACAACTGTAACTGTGTCACAGAAAAAAAAAATGTACATCTCAACTTTGTTCCACATTCCACAAACATATCCGGATTGAGCTGCATTTATTTTGTGTTGTAAATATCGGGTATCTATAATGCCAAAGCATTGTTGGCGGCTGGCCTTTGTGATCTAAAAATATTTCTTCATGTATATCTGGAAAAAAACAAAATTTAACAAATCAGTTACGCCTATGAGAAAATAAGAAGTTGAATATGTAAGAAAGTGAGTTGAAACCATGATGAATTTATCCGAATGTAATACTTAAACAATTTTATTAATTCTAACACTGTCCTTCATCACTTTCTACTTGTTTATGTCAAAAAAGTGCCTTGAGCCAAATGTAACAGAAAATGAAACTCCATGGAGTACTACACCAGACAGTGGAATAAATTAATCTCTTCGTTTCGATTTAGTCAGTAAACCGCATGTCTCATCAACTTCCTGCTCAAATATTTCATCGTTCAATCGACAATAATTTTGGATATCAATTTTGTTGATCACCAGATCAAGGTACTTTTGATCACTAAACATTTTTAGATATAAATGATCACCAAATTTTTCAGCATGATACATATTCATTGAAATATTAACCAAATGAATAATATTTTAACAGTTTTATTTATATCTATTTACAAATTTAAAGCTGTGCTAACTTTCTTGGGACACCCTTTTGCTTTTCGTTTGCCTAATGGTTGAATACGTGTTTTGTCGCTAACTTGATATAAGTTAAATAAAATTGCTAATCCAACAAATGTTTACACGAATATACTTTCATGTCAATCGGACAGCCACATGATTCTAATGGTACAACAAGCCGACAGGATTGTTGCCACACCAGAAAATCATTGAATGTTAACCACTGATGAGAATGATAAATATCTAGCCAATGATACATTCAATGATTTTCTGGTGTATTCAACCGTTAAGCAAACGAAAAGCAAAAGGACCTCCCAAGAAAGTTAGCACAGCTTTAAATTTGTAAATAGATATAAATAAAACTGTGAAAATATTGTTCATTTAGTTAACATTTCAGTGAATATGTTTGTGTTGTACATTATACGTTGTTGAGAAATAAAAATGTGAGATTCATGCTGGAAAATTTGGTGATCAAAAGCACCTTTATTGGTGATCATTTGTATAATTTTTGGTGATCAAAAGTACATTTACTTATTATATTATTTTTATAGCGCAAGAAATAAAGAATAGATTTTAAGAATGCAGTATGATATTCATCGTTCTCGTTAGAATTTGCACACTGAATATCAGTGCCTAGAAATTTGTCATAATGGTTATATGAGACATACTGTACACATTAGAGCATACTGACTATTGATGGATACCGTGAAAATTCAGTAATTTTCAATATATTTTTTCTTGAATTAGCTTTATTAAACATAATAAACAACAACTATTTAGCACACTTTATTTTATAGAAGAAAAAGAACTATGCATTGACAAACTGCTGTCATCAGAGCATGACCATAAATCAACTTTAGCATCAACGGGAATATCTGCTATAAGAGCAACGTCCCACCCGGCTACTGGTAACGATTCGATAATATTGAGAATTCTTCCAGCTGGCAATAAACCGAGAATTAGTTGATTCGTTAGAAGTACGGATAAAGCATTAAGATTCAAATCTAGAATATCTTCATCCTCTTCAAACCAATTCTCCAATATCCTTTTAAGTCGACTTTTTTCTTCGAATGTCCATCCGAATTTATTATATTGAGTCGTCGCCGAAATAATTTGTTGAAATAAATTAAAAACGTTGTTTGCCATTATTGTACTGAAAAAATATGTATTTAGACAGTTTATTCTATATTTTGCGAGAAATGTTCAAGTTCTAGCAACTCTGGAATTTATTTTCCGAACAGGAATTTACAGTTCAACAGAAGGTTCTGTTGTCATAAACTATCATCAAGAGATGACACAGCTTCAGCAAGAGAATTTTCAGTAGTGACAAGAGAAGCCATTTTTCTACGAGAATTTACCTATCAAAGAAAATTAAATTCCAAAGTTGATTGCAAAACATGCCTCATCCTCACTTTTCTACGTCAGATCCGTTGTTATGGCAAGACTTGTTACAGGACATCATTCTAATCTTTATTTAATTATATTCAGGTAGAGTTCTGTAAGTTTTCAGAATTTTTGTGAATATTAAGGTTCGATCTCTTCTTAATAATAATATTCTCATGGAAAAATGAGATTCTTGCGTCTCAATTGAATTTAGGACTTTATCGAACTCGAACTGTTTCTGGAACGTTTTTTATTTTCTTTTAGATTGGTAAGTTCTCGTGTGAATAAGTAATTCTCGTGAAAAAAGTAAAATTCTGGAATTGATGGAACTCGGACATTGCTGAACTTCTTAGAGTGCTGTAACTGTTTTGTTAGAGTTTTATAAGGTAGTTTTTGTTTGAAGTCTGTATTTCATGCTGAAACAATGTTTAGATAGCTTAGCTTACATAAGCCTCGCTTATATTGTGCAAGATTACTTACCTAATCGTCTAATTTCAAAATGCTTTTCGAATAAAACAATTACTCTCATTTCGAATATTTTCATGTTAAATACTAAAGTAAAATTTAAACTTGGAATATTTACTTCCTGGGTACTTGGAAATACCCATTCCACTTGGAAATATTCATCTAGATGGTTGACAATTTTTCCAATGAGAATCGAGATCTTGCTGGAGATGATGAAAATCTTCTAGTTGATAATCAGCAAGATAATTAATACCAATAAGCCATAATTTAGAGACGCACATTTCACAAGTGATTTTATTTGAGAATGTTATTTTCATCAGTATATGAACACTGAAACAAAAAAGCACATTATTTACCGAGAAAATAAAATGTGCTCGAAAAAATTGCTGTTTCTAACTCTATATAAAGTGTGCCTGAAAACATATAACGTCATGAGGGACAAATTCACGATTTAGTCTAATATAACCTTGAAAAAAACAAACACGAAACAAGCCCGTAACTAGAAAACGCAGAACAAAGCCCATCGAAAAGATAACTACTACCAAAAACAGCCTAACATATGGTGTAAAAGTAATGGCAATAATGTCAAACTCTGTTAGACCGTATTGCCGACTTCTAAACCAATCAAACTTTTTTTGGTCGGAGAGAGCAAAGTCTGCACCACAAGTTTTATACCAAACATATTTTTCCAGAACGAATCTGAGAGGGAGGAAAAGTCAAAAACCAAACACCTCTGAAAAAGTCCTTGCAACGTTTTTGCAACTTGAAACGTTTGTATTTCTCAATTATTTCGAGCTCCATGCATCAAACTTGAACAACAAATACACCAAAATGTAGCAGATCAAAAACTCTATCGATATCAGCATTGATAAAAGTTTTAGATCCGTTCTTGACTCTTTAATCAAAAACGTTTTAAACATGAATTTATTTGTAAAATCGAGTCTTTTGTAAAACTATCACTTTGCAAGAAAATCAGCCATCGTCTTCAGAAATCATGCATGAACTCAATTCTTTTTGCGTTATTTGTTAGAAATATGTCCGATCGTAGAAATTTTGCAAAAAAATATAATTCAAAAAAGATTTTTTATCGTTGCAAGACGGCCAGGTAGTAAGAACTAGGGGTGGCACATTTTCTTTACTGATGCGTTACTTTACTGAGTAAAGCAACGCTTTCAAATATCACCGTATGAGTGACGAACAACCGAAAATGTATTGTTTTATCACCTTCCGGACACAATGCGACTAAAGCGTTACTATATTATGCGTTACTAGTAACGAGTAACGCATGCGTTACTGCGTTAAAGTAACGCAAAAGTAACGCAATGCATGAGGGAAAATCAACCCTTAGTCCGAATACCTTTATGCGCTGTAGCTCTCTCAGCACTTTCTTGTTTTGACTTAGATCAAATAGCTGTAAAAGTTGTCATTCTACCAGCTCAAAATTTTCTTTTATCACACTGAGACTATCTGATGACACTTTATAGAGTAGTGATCAAGACAAGCTCCAACAATTTTAAATACCATTGGCTTGAAGAATAAGGAAATGTTTACCTCATCTCATGAAAAATATACTATAGTTAAGACAGTTCAGATGACTGTATTCTGATCCCTCTAATTAACCACTGTTATATGACAAGTTCTTATTCTCAGAAAGTTTTCTTACTCAGCCTCTAAAATTTAAGACGATGGTAAAAAAAAAGAAAAAGCAGGATAGTGCTTTTAAGTTTCGAATGATTAATGTAGTTATTGTAATGGCGAGTTTTAGCAAAGTTGACTAGCACATGTTTTCATTTTTGCCATTCACTTTTTCAGAAGGTTGTGCCATTGAGACCTGAAACATTCAGGTCCTAAAAGCACCCGAAACAAGAATTGATCTATTTCGTATTGAGTGTTTTTTGGAATGGTGGATGCTGAATGTCGACATCCGTTCAGAATTAGGTAGCACTGACATGAATCATCAAGAACATTTTATTATCATCGCTAGTTCTTGTTTTCACTTTTAATGATACTAACGCTGTTTTCTTGCTGGAATGACGAAAGAACAACAATGCACGTAGGAACATAAAATGCATAAAACGAGAGTGTATCAACTGTAACGGCATTGCTGTTACGGCAATTAGTGACAACGTTCAATAAAAGAAAAATCTGACTAATACTTTAGCATTGATGTCAATGCCAATAACGATATTAGTTCAAATGCATGTCTACAAATCTTTGCTCAAAAGTTCCAGCATTCGCCGACTCTTCAATGCCATGGAGTATTGAACGGCCTTTGGAGAGAGAGAGGTGCGTTGTAGAACAACTAGGGGTATCCAGAGAGTGCAGAACACCTTACATTATAACCAGATGTTCACAGTAATACCATAGCAGCCACACAGTCGCATGGAACTGAAGGAGTAAGAATATTAACACAAACAAAAACCGTACATAAAAGCAATTTTACTCGCTGTATTTATCGAAGTAAGCATAACTGAAATCAGAAACTCAGTCGTGCCAACAATAGTTATATCAGCAAGAAACATATAAGTATTTATTAGCTTGACTTGTATCGTAAGCGTTACTGTGTTACTCGAAGTTATTTAAATGCAATAACGCATGCGTTACTGCGTTACCTGTAAAGAAACAGTAAAGCGCCACTCCTAGTAAGAACGACCAACTTATTTAGTCTCTTTCAGAAAAAGCTGTATTTTGGTACAAAAATCAAGAGTAAATTTAACTTCCAATTTACCATTGGGAAGAGCACTCTTTATACTACAAAAATCATCGTTTAACGTGTTTTCTCATTTCTCTTCTGATGCAAAACAACTAATAGAAAATAGAAAATGATGTTACTCCATAGTGAAGTTGTAAGGACTTTTTCAGAGGTGTTTGGTTTTTGACTTTTCCTCCTTCTCAGATTCGTTCTGGAAAAATATGTTTGGTATAAAACTTGTGGTGCAGACTTTGCTCTCTCCGACCAAAAAAAGTTTGATTGGTTTAGAAGTCGGCAATACGGTCTAACAGAGTTTGACATTATTGCCATTACTTTTGCACCATATGTCACCAGCGCTGAGATGACGCACGCAACCTCACTAAAATTCTCAAGCACATAAAATCCGAGAAATTTGCAACGGAGCAGAAGTACACGTCCTTCATCCTATTGCAGTCAGTCCTTTCGGGCTAAACATGGAAAAACCGAAAACACAACGTAGGCATCAGAGCTCCGTATTGACTGGACTGGACTGAAAATTTTTTGAGTTCATAGTCTCGGACTGGACTGCACTCAAAGTTTCAAGACCATGGACTGGTCTTTCCTCGAAAAAAAAGTTTGGATTCGCTTGAATCGAGGAGAAAAAGATTGTTTTTGTGTTGTAGACTGCCCTACTTTTTTACAGTCCATGGACTGAAAAAACTGTTTTTCAAGGACTCGTACTGGACTGAACTGACGATTCGTAAGCTCAGAATTTTGAGTCCATACGGAGCTCGGGTAGGCATCACTAGTCACTCAAAATGCCAATTATCAAAAATTTTGCAAATAAAAGCTCCGAACTGCGTGTTATGTGACTGCTGATACACTGACGCGTTCTGCTTGTTTTCAACAACGCAAGATTTGTTTCCGAATGTCAAGCGGAGTAATTTTAGCGAGCATTTTTAACTAGATTTAATAATGTTTCGTCTATAAGTGTTGAAAGTGAAAGTTGATTTTGGCCTTATAAATTTGAAATCCTACCGCTTGGTGATATTCAACAAATGTGAACATTCATTCGAATCTAATTTGACTAATCACCTTTGTTCCAAATACACACAAATAATATGCAGGGGCGCCCCGATACCTCGGAGGCAGGGGGGGCCAAAGTCAATTTCGGAGTAAATTTTTATGCTTTTAAAAATTGGAGTAAAAATAAAAAAACAAAGATAAATATTCTAAGCAGTTTTCTTCTAAAGCAAGACTGACTTTCCTTCTATCTAACTCTATATACTTCAGCACAAAGCAAATTAAAGTAAAATGTGTCGTCCTGGTTTCATATCTCTCCATTTTTGCACTAAAAGTTGTATATTTAACCGATCAGTAAATTCTGTTTCTATTGAACATAATAATAGTTGCTCTAATCGATCATCTTTCATTTGTGTTCTAAGTCTATTTTTTATTATCTTCATTTTGCTGAACAACCGTTCATTATTTGCCAAAAATGGAACTGTATCTCTTACTCCGAAAATAGCAGTAAATATCTTACTTTTGAAACGAGAGTAAATTCCTAACTACGAAACGGAGAGTAAGTCTTTTGCTCTCAAAATGGGAGTAAATGTCTTACTCCAAA